ACCCGCCTGGACACAGGAGAGGAGTATGGACAAAACTCCCAACATGGAAAACCAGGCAGAACTACCCGGAACTTAGTAGCTTATTTTCTGCCCCCAGGACCTCAGGGCAGTGGGTCACATTTCAGCCCCCATATCACACACAGGAAAGGGTTCGTGTGGCCGCAAGGGGCAGAAGCCACTGATGGTGGGTGGCGGCTCCGCCCTCTGCACTGGTCACCTTACTTTTCTCTCAGGCTGGGATCTCTGCCCTCAGATTCCCTTCTACCCAGAAAGGGATTGTGGTTCAGACTCCTCCTGAGTGACCCTGTAACCTGCGCCTGTCATTCTACACACCAGGCTGGGGCAGGGCGGGTGGCAGTCAGTGGGAGAACCAGACTGGACACTGACTCAGTCCTCCCTCACCCTCCCTTCCACTCCAAATCATTTCCTGCTTAGGACCCTTCTGCCTGGCAGGGAAGACATGTCCGTCTTTCTGAAGGAGACAGATTCATGAGGCCCAGAGAGATAGCTCTGGATGGGTCTCTTAATCAGGCACTCACAATGTAGCCAGTCACCTCTGAACACTGGCTGCACCTTCTGAGTTCAGCATCTCCGAAAAAATCCCTGATGACCGTGGAGACACTTATGTGACAGGCCAGCCTCTGCCCAGAGCCTGCCCGAGTCTCTGCAGTCATAAGAACGACCACAACCCTTCTTCTTCCAGATGGTCTTCTCATTACTGCCCTCCCTAGTCCTGCAAAGACCGCGGATACAGGTGTCCCCTTCCCCTTTGACAGACAGCGAAGATCTAAGGGGGCAGATCAGTTGGTAAAGTGCTTACCCTGCACAGCTGAGGTCGAGTTAACTCAGCACCTACATAAAAAGCCAAGTGTAGGGAGCGGGAGAGATGGCTCAGTGGTTAAGAGCACTGGCTGTTCTTCCAGGGGATCTGGGTTCAATTCCCAGCAGCCACATGGCAGCTCACAACTGCCTGTAATTCCAGTTCCAAGGGATCCAACACCTTTACACAAACATACGTGCAAGCAAAACCCAAAAGCACATAAAGTAAAAATAAATTGAAAAAATAAAGGAAAAAAGCCAGGTGTAGTGCCCTTGCTTGTAATCCCAGCACTGGATCACCAAGGTTTGCTGTACAGACAGCCTAATTGGTGAGCTCTAGGTCTCAATAAGAGACCGTGTCTCAAAGGACAAGATGGATGCCACCTAAGGAATAATACAGGTTGACTTCTGGCCTACACACGTGTTCCTACACACAGGAAGACACAAAGGATGGGGTAGGGGTGGGGAGAAGTTAAAAGTGAACTCCTGCATCTCTTAGCCATAACTAAGTAGTGGGACCAGAGCGCTTGGCCAGATTTCCCGCCAACAGCCCCTCTGCCTGACTGACAGCCTACCTCCTGGTCTTCCTTCTCAACCTGCTCCCCCAGAGCCTGGCCAATCGGCTCAAGGAAAACATGGAGAAGCTGACTGAGGAACGGGACCAGCGTGCTGCTGCTGAGAACCGTGAGAAGGAACAGAACAAGAGACTCCAGAGACAGCTCCGTGACACCAAGGAGGAGATGAGCGAGCTTGCCAGGAAGGAAGCTGAGGCCAGCCGCAAGAAGCATGAACTGGTAATGTCCTGCTCCTCATGGGTCCCAAGCTGGAGCACCCCACCCCCCAGGTCCTGCTAAGTACATACCCACCTCACCCTGGGCTGTGGGGGGCATTTCAGTGCCCAAGTCCTGTTACATATACACTCACCTCACTAGGTTTGGGTGGAGGACAGTTTAGTTCCGAGGACAGGCAAGAGAGTCAGGGGTGGCCTCAGAAGTCTCCATCAGGTGAAGCCCCCACCCAGCCAGCCTAGTAGCCCTTGAATAGAGAAGCCTTTGGAGGCTTCAAGGAGCACCAGGGTAGGTCCTGTCTGGCAGCAAGTAACTTGCTACAGGCTCCTTCAGAGATGCTAGGGGACAGTGTGGCCCTCCTGTACACTGGACTCCCCTCCTAGGAAATGGACCTGGAGAGCCTGGAAGCCGCTAACCAAAGCTTGCAAGCTGACCTAAAGCTGGCGTTCAAGCGCATTGGGGACTTGCAAGCCGCCATTGAGGATGAGATGGAGAGCGATGAGAATGAGGACCTTATCAACAGGTAAGAGGTAGAGCCTCTGGCATTTCAGGTGGGACAAAAGCCCTCTTGAATGGTGGAATCGGGCCCCAGGTGGCAGCTGCAACCTCTGTCATCCCATAGCTAAGCTACCAAATCACCCTCTCAGTACTAGACCCGGATGGGAGAGGCGGAGGATGCTGGGGAGGGGGGCGGTTAGAAGCTCTCCCATCCTCCCGAGCTCTCCTTCCCAGGCCTTCCAAAGCCTCTGGTGCTGCCTGCTCCCCGTGAGTTATTCCCCCAGTTTAGCTGCACTTCCGATGGCGTCTGCTCCACTCCAGGGAGAGCAGAGATTTAAGGGCGGTGGTGCCTTGCTACCGCGCTAGAGATTTTCCCGCATAAAACCTACCCAGGGAATGGTTTTGGAGAAGGAAAGAGATTTGTAGTCCTAGGCTGAGGAGAATGTCACAAATCCAGAGGACCAGCAGTGTGGGGGTGGGGCTGGGACCTAGGTAGATCCGGGAGATCCCCACTTGCCACCTCTGGGTCAGGTCCCATCATATGGGCAGGGCAGGGCAGGGCAGCCCAGGAAGCTTGCTCCTTTGGGATGAGTGCTGGCAGCGGATCGGGCCTGGTTCTGAGGATTGTGTTACTCACTTCTGCCTGATCTCAGCCAGCCAGAGCTCTCATTTACTGAAGAAAGAAGCGTGGATGAGGGTACTCCTCAGTCTGTCCGTTGATCCCCACCCCCCACCTGCTTCTTCTGGCCCCTTTGCCCACCATTTCCTTTCTGTTTCCAGTTTGCAGGACATGGTGACAAAATATCAGAAAAGAAAGAATAAACTGTGAGGACCAGAGCCGTGTGCTCTTTGCTCCCCACGGGTGTCTAACCATCCCTAACACAGGGCTTCCTGCCGGGCCCCTGCTGCATGCAGCACGCAGACACAGCTTCACACTCTCTCTAGCTGGTCTCTCATGCTAACACCACTGACTGTCCTTAGGCTGGAATGGAAGAACGGGCTGGCTGTGAAGTGTGTTCCTAGAAGGCCAGACTGACCCTCATGGGCCCGGTAGCCAGGATGAGGCTCCATCTGCCTGGCTAAGTCCCAGCCTCCCCTCTCTAGGAACCAAGTGTGGCCACCACCCTGGCCTGTCTCTCTAGGGGTCCAGTGTTCAGGATACATCCTTGGGCTCTTGGAAGGCAAGCTGCCTGCAAGGAATAGGTCTGTTTCGTGTTTCAGGCCTGTCACCTTCCTTAGGCAGATGAGGGTTGAAGGTGAGGGGCATCTCACAGCTGCTTGTATGGAGAAAGCCTTCAGGCAGCTAATGTGGGGCAGCTCTGCTGTGGCAGGAGAAGGCGGCAGCCTGCTGTGTTTGCTTTGCTCCCTGGGGGCACCTCGGGCAGCGGTGGTGCTCGTGCTGGTGGGAGGGGGGGACCTATCTGTGTTGGTATGTCTGTCAGGTGGTGGGAAGCCTAGGACATCTGCCCTGCTCTGTTTTCTCTTTCCAGCGTGTGTGGGGGGGGGGGGGAGGGGAGGAGCTGGAAAGCGGTGCAGATGTGCAAGGCCTTCAGGTGGGTTTGCTGATCCTCTGTCCAATTCGACAGGGCTGCTCTGGAGGTTGTTTTTTCAGCCTAGGACTGAATTTCCTGCCTGGCAGGCCTCCTCCCCTGGCCAGGATGGGCTGGCGGCCCTGCAAAGGAGTCCGGGAGAGCTAATGATAAATGTAATAGTGTGTAACAGTGATAGAGGGCCGCTGGAGCCCGGTTGTCACACACAATTAATATCCCCTGCCGTCCTGTCTCCGTTTGTTTGTTCCCCCGTGATTCGGCTCCCAGTTAACTAATAGCACATGAGCCCGGACATAAATTGTATTTGACGCGAGGTTTAATTCCGACCATTTAAAATTTCAACTGCCCCCTGAGCCTGCCTGCCCCTGGAGTTTGTTTACGGGCCTGATTATTTAAGGAAGAGAACCCGAACATTGTCTGGATTCTTGCAACTAAAAGGAAGGTGAGGGCAGGCAGGCCAGCCTCTCAGCCCACTGACTGCTCTGAATGTAAGGAAGGAAATTCATATTCTGGGCCTCAATCTGTCCCCAGTGTGTTCCATCCTGCCATCCTTGGGCAGAAGGAGCTCTGAGGGCTGATAAAATGTGCACTGAAGATCATATTCTGAACCATAGTTGGGCACACACAGACTCAACACACACACACACACACACACACACACACACACACACACACACACACACACACACACACCAGCGTGCACTCAAAGCAGGTGCATGAAAACGTGCAATTCTAAGCAGGCTCCACTGATGGCAGAGGGGCTCCTTCCTCAGCAGCTCCAAGTTATCGAACGAGCATGCTAAGGCGGGCAGAAAAATAATGTTTCGATTTACTTAGAGATACAGTTGTTATTGCCATAACCTTAATGAAAGCAGTAAACAGTGCAGTATTAAGGGAGATTTATACAGAAACACTTTTAACATGTAGACATAGATTTTGCGATGCATACAGCTCCTCCTTTCTAAAGGCAATCAATATGGTTATGAACGGCGGTGATAAATTACAGGCTCTGAAGCCATAGAGGAAGGTTTTTTGCACGGGTGTGTAAATCAGGTGGTATTGGCGTTCCATGGGACCCGTGCACCACAGTAAATCTGCCAGGCTCAGATGGGCACAGAGCTTGCATTAGTGGTTTGGGGGCTGCCTGCTAAACTCCTGTTTACCCGGGGCATCGGCAGGCCTCGTCCCTGTTATAATTCTGTATTTGATGGAAGCCCATAAAGTACGCCTCTTTGTTCCCCTTCCCCATATGCCAGGCTCTCTTGTGGTCCCCAGGTCTCTGGTTTCCTCTGATATATGTGTGTGTGTGTGTGTGTGTGTGTGTGTGTGTGTGTGTGTGTGTGTGCATGCGTGTAAGTATACATGCATATGCCTGTGTGACTATTTATTCAAGAACATAATTCAGGACCAGGCCACTCCTGTTGACACAGATGAAAGGAAATTTATATCAAGAAGAAATCTCAGCCTATCCAGAGCAGGGGATCTTAGAGAGCAGACATTTTGCAGAATTTGCAAAGCATTTATCTCTATGCCCCCACTGCTTGATGAGGGGTCACCCCGACTCTAGCCTCAGAATTAGACTCTGAGACTTTCTTGCAGGTGCTGGGGTCAGCCTGTCCAGCAGTAGCAGTGGGGAGCAGGGGCTGGAGGCTGCCCGAGGGAGGGATGAGGAGCCCGGAGAGTCAGAGCCCTGCCTGAAGACTCTCTGAGCCCACTGGGCTTCCTGGAGCTGCCCAGATCCTGAAAGCACTAGCAGGCCCTCGGGGAAGGTGCTGCTCTTCTCCCCTTTTTTTCCTGTTTCTAAAAGCCAGGGACACCACAAGCTGGTCTAGGATGTGGCTGGTGCTTCATTAACTTAGGTTTGTATTGTTAGCAGCTAAAGAGACCTTCAAGTTAGCCTGAAGTCATGTGAAGGTCCTGCCTCTGTCCTATGATGACTGGCAGCCCTGCTTTTGTAATGAAGACATAGAAAATGGTGGTAATCGTAGCCACAGTCTGAGGCATCTCAACAAGAAATAGCAACATGGGCCTCAAGGGGGAGCTGAAGGGCCCAGGAAAACACACACACACACACACACACACACACACACACACACACACACACACACACACACCCCTATTTGTTTTATTTGGTTTTTCCAGACAGGGTTTCTCTGTGTAGCCCTGGCTGTCCTGGAACTCACTCTGTAGACCAGGCTGGTCTTGAACTCACAGAGATCCACCTGCCTCTGCCTCCCGAGTGCTGGGATTAAAGGTGTGAGCCACCACTACCCAGCAATACAAACAATATTGTGTGGATATATGTATATATGTGGATATGGGTGTGCTACAGCATATATATGGCTTCCAGGGATTGAACTCAGGCTTGGTGGCGAGTGCTATTACTCACTGAATCATCTTGTCAGCCCTAAGACTTCTCTTTAACCAAGCGCCATTAGGCTAGACTTGCGAAGTAGATGGCCCACCTACCATGTTCATCTGGTCGGCCAGCTGACTAGCCTGTCACTCATGTCTGGAGGAACGGGTGGTGCCTCCACACTTCCAGGATCTTCTTAGTGGCTGTCTGTCACCCAGTGTGGTCTGCTGAGGGAAGGGACGGGCACCTCGTGGGGTGACGTGGGGTGACGTGCTCACTCTAACCTTTCTGCCCTCCCTGACTCACCGATGCGCATGCCGCCTGCATTCCATCCCCCCCCCCCAAGGTGCACCCTCCTCCCTTCTTGCTTTCCTCCCGGCCAGCGGTCCTCAGCTGCCTAGCCTTGCCTACCTCTTTGCTCCTCGCCCCAACAGTGAGGGGGACTCCGATGTGGACTCAGAGCTGGAGGACCGGGTCGACGGGGTCAAGTCTTGGCTGTCAAAGAACAAGGGACCTTCCAAGGCAGCTTCTGATGATGGCAGCTTGAAGAGTTCCAGGTGAGTACTTGGCCTCGAGCAAGGAGGAAAAGCCATCTCAGGCACCGGTCATGGGTGGGCAGTATCTTGGCACCAAGGGTGCCTCCCTCAGGCCATGTGTATGCTCCTCTGGCCTGTGGAAAGTAACACAGAAGGCCAGCTGCTTAGCCAGGTAATGGTTCCCTGGTTGGGTGTGAGCTCTTGTACAGCAACCCTCTACCTGTTGGTGCCTTTGAAGTCAAGACTTGGGTAGGGCACCGGGGACTCTGGGTCCTGGAGCCCGCACAGGGCGGCCCAGTGGCTCTGGACCTCTGTCCTCCGTAGAGCAGCAACGCAAAGGCACAGTTCCCAGAGCTGTGCTGCGTTTCTGCCTCCTCCTCTTCCTCTGCTTCCCGATGCTTTTCACTGCCCACCCCTCCAGACTCGCCTGCCGATCTGGGGGCTTGCTCCCCTGTTCTCTAGCCAATCACAGTCTTCTGATCATACAGACAGCCACCTGGAGAAGCCAGAGCTCCCACTTCTGCATCCGTCCCTGGCCAGTTATGGCCTACTCCCTGCACCCCTTCCCACACAGAGTCCCTTGCTCCCTTCCCCACCTCTCCAGAGACCGTAGGCAGGCCGAGTGGAAAAAAGAATCTCTCTCTTTCTTTTCCCCCAAGTCCAGCCCCTCACCACTAGCACCCAGCGGCCCCCTGTAATTGGTTTAATTTATTCGGCCAAACAACATTTTGTTATTGCAGATAATGCCTCCTTCCCCGCCCCGCTGCCGTTCACCACAGTGTGGCACGAGGCTCCAGGTAGTTGACAATGAAATAAATTGAACTAAACGTTTTAGAGGGGGAAAAGTGATGAAATAGAACAATAGTCTAATTTACATGACATTCTCCATGAAGCTATTTTCACTGACGCAAATTATTTTGCTTCATTTCCTCGGATGCTCTTGCCACCGCTTTGCTAGGGCTGTGCGGTTTCTCCTCCTTCCTCCCTCCCACTGTGTCCTTATTTTTGTTAATGCCTTTCTCTCTCTCTCTCTGTCTCTCTCTCTCTGCTGTCATTCTTCCACTCTGGGTCTCTCCTCTTGGGCTTCCCGTCCCCCTCAGGACGGCTCTCAGCAGCCTTCCTAAGGAGGGCAAGGGGCCAGAGGAGAGACCGGCCTCTGCCCTCAGCTCCCTCAGCTACCGCAAGAGGCTCACCCTGAAGGACTCCATCGGGGGCACTGGGGACCAGGACTCACTCCTCACCACCCTGAGTGAGCGTGCCAGCTCCCCTGAAAGGCCCCCCAGGAAGGCCCGTGTGGGCCCCAGGGAGGAACCCGACCAGGCCCAGGGCAGGAGGAGCGAGGAACAGGATGACTGTAGCTCGGTCTTCTCAGGGGCCGGGAGCCGCCCTGGCCGTGGTCTGGAGAAGCGCTGGGGCTCGGACTTCGACCGAGCCTCGACGGTCTCCGCCCCAGTCAGCCGGGCCTCCTCAGCCACGCGTGGCTCTGGGGAGGACAGGGCTCGCTCCTCGCTGAGCTTCTCACTCTCAGGCTCACCCAGCTCCCGCCGCAGCACGTCCAGGCTCGACAGCCTGTCAAGGACCCTGAGCCCTTCCTGGCACAGGGCCTCAGGCCTGGGCCGCGAGAGCCCCGACTCCCGGCTGTCCCTCGGCCAGAGCTGCCTGGATGAGTGGGATGATGGAGCCAGCGTGGCCCTCAGTGAGGCACCCTCACAGTTCAGCCACCCGTCACTGGCCCGGAGTCTGTCTGTGCCCCCCCAGCCACGGGGCTCTGCCTCAGCCTCAGCCTCAGCCACTGAGGGCTCCAGCGTCCCACCAGTCAGCCGCCACTCCTACCTGGATCCAGACCTGGAGGCTGCCATCAACGAGGTTCTGAGCTACAAACCTGTGCCTTTCAAGCGGAGCAGCCTGGAGCCTGACTCTGAGGATGACGACCGGAAGAGCATCCAGAGTGCCCGGAGTGCGCAGCTGGAGTGCCCAGAAAGGGGCTCCAGCATCCGCCGCTCTGCCTCTGCCGTGGATGTCTCTGGGTCACGCGGTGGCCACAAAAGCCGGAGCAAGCGCAGGAGCAAACGGAGGAGCCCCAGCTCCAGCTCCAGCTCCAGCTCCAGCTCCAGCTCGGAAGGTTCCTCAGAGCACAAGCGGCGGAGGAAAGGGCGCTCTCGGAAGAGCAAGAAGAGATCCAAGTCAAGAAGGAAGAAAACAGAGACCGAGTCGGAATCCTCGTCGTCGTCCAGCGGCTCCACTGTCTCGGGCCACAGCCGCTCCAGTGTGAAAAGGGGCCCAGCCGCAGACATGGAGGAAACCGGGCAAGCGCCCAGGCGCTCAAAGAAGGAAGAGAAGCAGCGCAAGAAGGAGGTCGACAGTCTGATGATGCGGTACCTGTACCGGCCAGAGAGTGACTAGCGTAGTAGGTGATGCCCGGCCTGGCGTGGAGTGCGGCATGGCGTGTGCCACCCTCTGAGAACTAACCTGCTCCCTGCCCCCTCCAACCACCACCTCAGGCTCCCCTCTCGGGCCTCCGAGAGCCTCCTGTGTTGTTTTTGGAACTAATCTTCACTACGACTGTCTAACAAAGGTCTGATCAGCTCTGTTTCATAGAAAGTCAAGGCCCAGAGAGGTTAAGTTAGTTACCTGCCAAGGTCACACAACTGGGAAGTAAGATTACCAGGAGCTCATGGGATCTGTTTAACACCTTTAACCTTTACTGCGGAGCATGTGGGTGACACCTAGGTGTCACCCGCATGCATGCACCCATTTCAGAGCTCTCATCCAACAAGGTGGACCCAGAGAAGGCCATTAACTGACATGGCACACTGGCTGTGAGCTCTGATGAGGCACTTGGCTCCCTGCTCTGCTGCCTTCCTCCCTAACATGGATCTCCAGCTGCAGCCTACACCGTGCCACACCCCCCAGCAGCCCCAGGAGATGCCTGCTGCCTCCCTAGCCCTCCCACCCACACTCAGCCCACACATGGGCGTCACCTCAGCTTTGCTCATCTTGTGAAGTTCTAATGACTAGAAATTAGCAGCTGCTGAGTGACAACCCCCTCTCTGCTCTCCTGCCTCCCCCGGCTCTTCCCTCTTGTGCCCACACCTTCCACGGAGAGAGGCAGAGCCTGACTCATTGGGATCCCATTGTTACCAGTTTCCCTGGTGGGTGGTGACATTTTGAATCACCCCTGTTGTGAGACGGTGTGGAGTGTTTTTCAGCATGGCACCCTCACAGGGCATGCTTGCTGCTTCCCAGGAGGCACATCCTCAGGCTGTAGCCACCTGGGGTGCTGCAGTCGTTTTCCCCGAAGCATGAACTAACACACCTGTAGCATGCTTGTGTCATCTGGTGAATTGGGCTATGCCAAAAGGGGTCTGTTGAAGGTCCCTTCAAGGAACAGAACAAGAGGAAGTTGCTGTGGCCCTTTGGAAATGGGGGAGGGGAGGAGGGGAAGTGATTGAGAGTGGAAGTGAGGAAATAGAGCTTGAATCCAGACCGGGCTTGTGGCAGCTCGGGCCTGAGCGGTGAAAGCACTCCTCGGCCTCAGCACTGCTCTGTCGCTTCTCTCATGGCAGATGGTTTCAGAGTGCTCCAGGGAGAGCAGGGAGCATTTGTGGCCTTTGTTAGCTCCATTGGGAGCAAAGATAGTCAAAACATTTGGTCTACAATTTCAGCTTCCTTTTAGCAGCCTTGCTAAGGACCCCGCACCACAGGCGAGAAGTCAGTTGGTGGATGGAAGGGGAGGTCTAGAACTAAAGACCGCCAGGCCTTTCTGTACCCCTTTCCAGAAGGAAGCCAGTGTCTTTCTGGGCCATCCCAGACTTGACTGGTGACTAGCGGATGTCCTACTGAATCCCTCCAGCTCCCAGTCACCTTTCACAGTGAATAAGACAGAAAACCCGTTCCGTCAGCCTCCTCTCACCCACAGCTCAGATGCTTTTGCCTACAGGGAGAGCCACCCAGTCCTGAAAACCTACTCTGTGTCACTCTGAGGATTAGAGTCCATGTTGACAGAGTGGTCCCCAGCTAGAACACAGCCAACTAACGTGAAGGGGGTGTGCGGGGAGGGCATTGCTGGCACCCACTGCCTTTGAACTGGGTATGCTGTGCAAAGGTGGGGGACAGAGCCTCACCTGGGGAGAAGGACCAGTGAAGAATTCCCAAACACAGAAGGCGGCGGCGTCACCCAGGGCTTTCCCAGCAGGAATTAGCTTGTGTACCAAATTGTTTGTGACAGCACAGAGCAGGAGACGCTGGCGTGTGGGGAGGAAAGCTTTTTAAACAATTTAGTTAAAATGTTCCAATTGCCAGCCCTGACTCTTGCTCTGGGGACAGGGAGCTGCCCCCACCCCCGGGCGCCCAGTGGGTGGCTTACTGATGGTGGTGGCAGCAGACAAGGACACTGGCTAAGGATCTGTGGCCCCACAGCCAGGCAGAGCTTGCCCTGTTCCTGGTTCCCTCTGCCTCTTCTTTAGAGCAACCTGACTGCGTTTACCTGGGTGCCTGGGGTGTGGGAAGCGGGGCTGGAGACCCACACAGGGCTGTGCCTCATTTACATCTGGACCCCAGCCCTGGCATCTGCCTCACGCCCTCTGCTCACAGAGTAACCCCACTGTCTTTCCTCAAAGCCCGAGTTCCTTAGCTGGAAAGCAAACCTTTAGCACGGGGTGTATGGAAATGCTGTGTTAAAAAAAGACAACAATTGAGTCCCACTAACTCAGGACTCAAACAACCCTAGGGCTACAGTGACCCCCATTTTTTCTGTGTTGCACAGTTATCATTGAGCTTTATAATTTTGTCCTGGAGATGCTGCAAGGCCCTAAGTGCTTCTGGCCCATCAGAATAAGACTCATTTATGTTCAGTCTAGTTTGTATTAAGTGTGTTTTGTGCTATTCTGATTCCTTTAAAAATGGTAATTCATTCATGAGAAATACGATAACTATTAACCGGACTGCCCCGTTGCTGAGCCATTTTGCATAATTGAACATATATTTTCCCAGGCTCTTCCTTTCCGCCAGGGACACGGAGACCTGTCTTTACATACCCCAGGCCCTCCTCCCCTCCCCCGCTAGCCAGCAGGAGACTTCAGGTTTGGACTAGTTTTCTTCTTGTCTAGTGGCAGAGTGCCCCAAGGCTGAGGTGCAGATTCCGGTTTGGGGAGAATAAGGCCAGGTTTGAAAAGGACCAGCAAATAAAGGCTGTCCTTGGGTTCCTAGTTCAGAATATAGCCAGCCTAGCGATTGTAGAAACTCCTTACGAGGACCTGGAGGCAGGGCTGTGTTCCTTTGTCACTCAGCTCGGGCAACAGCAGCAGCCCCAGGGACCCCAGATGAGGACAGGGCACCAGTGGAGGTGAAGCTGTGTTGGGCTGATGTTCTCCAGTGGTGCATGTGATCGGGGGACAGGAGGGGCTCTGAAGCTCTGGGAAAGAGAGAGTGTGATGGAGCCACAAGATGAGGTCCTGTAGGATGTCACGGTCCTCCTCCCTCCAGGGGACAGTGAGTGCTTCTTCATCCTCCAGTGCCAGGGACCTAATGAAGACTCCCAGGAGCTAAGGACTTTTCCCATTGGCCCATCCTGAAACAGGTCTTGCCAGCCTCTGTCCTGGGTCTCCATTCCTTTTCCAGTAGAGAATGCCATGATCAAGGACAGAAGTCTTCCAGGCCCAGAACCCTGATTAGGGGAAATAGTCCAGATCTGAGATCCTGTCAAGAGTGACTTGCCTGAGAGTTTCCTCCTTAGACAAGTTGTAATCAGTCTCGAATCTGTGTGGTCTGTGGCCTACCTGCATCAGAGGAGGGAGCTGAGCACTCTGAATCCCTGGGTTCCTCCCCTGTGACTCAGTCCCAGCTTCTCAGGGGAAGGAGCCAGGAACATGTGGCTGTTTCTTAGGCTCACAGAAGCCTGGTCCCCACTGCCACCAGCCTCCCTGTCCTGATCATCTTCAAAGCTTTCCAGGTGCCAACCGTGTGCTCCTTTCTCTACATTGAGCATCTCCTGGGTGAGCCCAGGAGGGCGTTGACCCAGCAACATTTGGGTTTTGAAGTGCAGGAACAGAGCCTTGGTGCCCCAGAGTGGGAGTAGTAGTTGACCTTGACCTTGTTCCTTTGTCTCTGCAGCCCAACCAGCCACTGGAAGTCCCTCGCCCCTGACCCATCAGATGATGAACATGACCCTGTGGACAGCACCTCCAGACCCCGACTCTCCCACAACTATTTGAGTGACAGCGACACAGAGGCCAAGCTGACAGAGACCAATGCTTAACCCGGGGGAGTGGCTCACAGCCCTCCCACCCCACAGCCTCTCCCAGGAAATAGAGGGGTACCACTGCCCCTGCTTGACTGCCGATCTGCATGGAAAACATCTCGGCTCTCTGTCAGGGGGACTCTCCAGGCTGTGGGTGTCTGATGGCTCCACGTGGACGAGGTGGGGGAAAGAGGAGTCTCTCTCTGCAGGGAGAACTTGCCCTCCTGCCTCAGAAATGCCACACTGTTGGCGCCGACCCCGGGCCATTCTGGACAATGTCAGGTGGCCTGGCACTTCACAGAGCCAGTAGTGGACCTCCATCTCAGCCTCCTGCTCAGGGATGGTGGATAGGTTACCTGCTGGACCACTCCAAGTTGCTGGGCCCATGGGAAAGAGTCAGGAGGGAGCAGCAATGCCTTCCCTCTGCTGGGGTGAGGGCTTTCTCTTCTCAGTGCCTGCTGTCTTTTTACTGTTTAATTTAAATACCCAAACCTCCACGCAGCTGCATCCTGGAAAGTGGGAGGGGCTGCCGTCGCAGCTGGGCCCTGTGGGATGCCTTGGGAATCTCCTCTCCATCTTCACTCCTCCAGAGGTCCTTTCTCATGCACTGGTGAGCAGAGCTGGGGCCCTGGTTCTTAAGAGGTAGTGTGGGGAGGCATGGCAGCCTGGTGCTTCTGGCTTGGGCTTAGCAAGCCTTGTTGGAGTATTAAGTGCAATGAGCAATTATTTAAGAGCTGACGTCTCCCACCTGCACCAGTCCACGGCTTCCAGCACTGCCTTCCTCCAGTCCACGGTATAACCAGCTCATTTGGTGCTGAGGCCTTGCGGTGGGCACAATGGAAGGTGGATATTCTGGTCTGTTTACCAGGCCAGAGTCCTAACCCTTTGCCATCTTTCTTCTGCCCGTATCCCTGTTCCCACACACTCACCCCAGACACTGCAACAGGTGGTCTGGACATCCCAGCTGCTTCCCATAAAGCTCATCCCGTCCACCCCACCAGACTCGGGGCCCATGGGTGGTGCCTGGTGCTGGACCTGTCTGCCGCCCCTTCCCTTCTGCAATTGGTTTGAGCACATCGGGCTGTGCTCGGCTTGTGGACCTGATTGAGGAAATAAAAGGCCCCTTCCCTCCTGGCCGTGTGTGTCCCTGCCTCTCCTTGCAGGCCCAGGGGAAATCCAGGGTGACCCCAGGGCAGGGTTAGAGGTGGGATTCTGGTGGGGACATGGAGGAGCCACCTTGGCCTGTGGAGGCCTACTCCCAAGCCAGACCAGGGGCACTCATGGAGCCTTGGCAGGTCACTTGACATAGGTGAGGAGATTGGCTAATGGAGACAGAGCCCCACATTTATGTTGAGGCTAGTGGAGTTGGCAGCTCACTGTGCTCTCAATCTCCCCCCTCCCCCATCCTTCTCAAAACTTTAGTCACTTCAAAGATAACTTTTTAATCAAAACTTGGCAGTATTTTCTCTGTTCCTCAGCCCTTTTTGGCCACAGGGACTTTGAATAAGCTGGGAATACTGCCTCACATGCGTGCTCAGCCCCTGCCTGCCTGCCTCAGCTACATTTGGGCTGTGCTTCGTGGTAGTCATAGGGCAGCTCCTGCAGATGAGCAAGAAACCAAAGACCTCCTCCCCCTCCTCTCCCTCCTCCGAACACTCATGGCCAGATATATTTCCCACAGGAGTTAAATGGTCTGGGGAGGTATGTGGGCAGGCTCTGGTGATGTCAGCCACCCAGAAAGTCAAGAGAGGAAAACAGAAGGGGAAGTCACCAAAGCTGGGGAGAACTATGAAGTGGAATCTTCTAGAACGAAGCTGCCTGCCCTCCCACAAAGAGAAAATGCAACGAAAGTGAAGTTATATTTGTTTGTTGAATCTCACTGTGCAGCCCAGGCTGACCCCCAATTCCCACTTCTCCTGCCTCAGCCTCCCTAATGCCAGGATCCCAGGAGCGAGTCCACACACTCAGTTTGGGGCGAGGAGGCTTTTGCTCCAGTCAGAAAATGTGTGTTACTCAATCCACTCGGCAGTTGAGAAAGCTGTCTATTAGCTGCTGTGGTTTGGGCGCGGTCCTTTCAGACCAGGGATAATCCCGGTGAGGAATCCGACACTCAGAGCATATGCCTCACTGGCTGCCATTTGTCAGCCTCCGGCCCGAGGGGAGTAAATCACGGTGCCTGTCCTCCGGGGATGTGAGCAAGGGATATTGCAGGAGGACAGAGAAGGTGCTTCAGAGCTGTGAAAAGACAATGCCTTGGGAAGGTGGACTGAAGGAGCCTCAAAGCAGTATCTGGGGCTAGGGCTTGCAGGAGAATGATTGCATGGGTGGGCAGTTATTGCCAGGGCACCCACGGGAAAGAAAGAACAAAGGTCCTGAGGCAGAGCGGGATGAACAGTGCTCTCATACCACAGCCGCCTGGGAAAACCAGAGGCCACAGCACTGCCACCACCAATGCTTCTCCAAGCTTCCACATAAGCCTTGGCTAGGGTTGTAGGCTCCGGGTTATGAAGGGGCAGCTCCCTTGGTTCCCACTCCCTGAGGCCCAGAAGGCCACCAAAGCATGTCTTCATTTGGGTCACACCTGGAAAACTCCACAAGTTCCGGAATACCCACAGTACCCCTCATCCCCGAGATGCTTGTGAGTCCACAAAGCAAAGCCCAAGTCCAGGTGCCCGTCTTGCAGCCGCCCTGTGTCCCGTTCAATTCTCCCTGAATGAATAAGAGGCAAGGGCAGGGACCAAAGCCCTGGGGGGCCCCCCATAGCTCCCAGACACCACAACAGCAGGCAGTGACCCCCAAACTGCTCCCTTTGTCCACGAGTCCTCTTGGCAGATTATCCTGGCTGTCCTTCCCCCATCCCCGGCCCCCGTGCCTGGTGGCACAGACACTTAGCGATTTGCTCCTTAATTGTCCCCCAGCTAGGCTGCGCAGATGCCGCTCTTTAATCTCTCCTGATAAATGAATCGCGCCGCTCCTTTAATCATATGTTCATATCCAAGCCAATTTGAATCAATTTGGCAGGGAGCGTGTTGCAAGAGATGCCATGACTGCTGTTCTCCCCCCAGGGCCCCAGAGCCTGAATGACTGCAGTCCTCACGCTCAGCAAGGAGCCCAGGAGGCCCATCTAGGAAAAGGAGCGCCTACCTGAATGGCGGGGACTTTTTAAAGTCAGCCACCTCATTTGCTTCCTGCACTCCAAGCAGGCTGTGTGGGACTGGAAGATGGATTCCCAACGGCCTCAGGAGCGGGAGGGACAGGGGATGAGTTCACAGCCTGCCTTGGTCACTGAATAAAGGGCCACATTATCATCCCTGGGAGAAAGTGCTCTCTTAAATCTAACCTTAACCCCTTCTGTTCCCCTTTCATTTCCTGGGAGCCAGAGCCGGTTCTCGGGAACCTGGAACAACTCATCACCTCTTACACAGCAGCACATGTCAGACCGGACTCTGCTAGTCCGTCCCCGCCCGCTACAGCTCCTTTCATCTTTCACTAGGCTGTAGTCTTCTCTAAACCCTCTAGCCCAGGGACATCCCTGCACCACGGTTCTGCCTTTGGGGCAGCTGCCATTACACTGTCTCAGTCGGAGTTCAGGCACAGTGGCAAAACCCAACAGGCTACCGACTTCGAAACCTTTGGAAAAGGGGCTGACTCTTCTGGCCTCGGTTTCCCCATTTGTAAAGTGAGTGGTGTTGCTAGCAAGAGCTTTTGGTTCCTAAGTTCAGAGCTCGCTGCTGCAGCCAGGGCACCCAGAGGTGGCACCCATAGGGCTGGGAGGCCTGGGTGCTGGGGAAGCTCAAGGTCTGGCTGAGTTTGGCTTCCATCCAGTGGCCTCGTCCCTCATCACCCTCTTTCCTTCCCCACTCTGCCAGATCAGGCAGGTGCCAGTCTTTCCGAGACAGGGTTTCTCGGTGGAGTTTTGGTGCCTGTCCTGGATCTCGCTCTGTAGACCAGCTGGCCTCGAACTCACAGAGATCCACCTGCCTCTGCCTCCCAAGTGCTGGGATTAAAGGCTTGCACCATAGTCAGATCTTATTTGCAAGTCCACAGCCCTGGTTTTAGAGCTCAGTAGACTCTGGCCCCACACCCCACCTGGAGATTCCTCCCATATTGCTCCCAGAAGCCACACATTTTAAAAGGGCAATGTTGGCTTTGTCTCAAGCAGTTGACAGGGCCTTGTGTATGGCATTGCCTTTTTTTTTTTTTTTTTTCCTGTTACAGGACCTCTCTGTGTAGTCCTGGCTGTCCTGGAACTCAGTCTGTAGACCAGGCTGACCTCAAACTGCCTCCCAAGTGCTTTGGAGCTGTCTCTTCCCAGATCAAATCACAAGAGTGGTCTGGATTGTTCTGGATTCTTCATCACATTTGGCATTGCCCTTTTAATGGTTTCAGCATCAAGAGGGCCAAGGAAGCAGTTTCCCTCCTTTTTAAGGCCTCTTGGAAGTCTTGGGGCTGAGGCAACCGTGGATAGGGGTGGAGGAGATGGGGGTGAGTGGCAGGAGTGCTTCCCAGTTCCCTGTTTGGTGAGGAGGTAGCAATCGCTCCCATGCCCTGAGTTTGCTGGGTCTCCAGTCCTTGTGCACTTGGCCAGCATAATCCCTCACAATTCTGTTAAGTGTCATTGTCCCCCTTTCCCCCCAGGTCCCTGAGGTTCAAAGAGGTGATGTCAGCTTTTCAAGCAAAGTCCTCTACTTGGTTCCAGCAACTGGCCAGGCATCTGGAACCATTCCAGGCTTGTCAGAAAAAGAAAGAAGAGGCAGGAAAGTGAAGACCCACTGTCATAGCTGCTATGTGCTTGGTATTCAGCAAGCCTGGCCTGAGGAAGAAAACGCTCTTGGCAATTTAAGGATAAAATGCCTACCTCACATTTGTGTTGCTCTTTATAATTTTCAGAGCATCCCCCCCCCATACATTATCACATTTGCACTGCACTCCCACTGTGCCTACAATATGAATAACAGTTCCACACGTCTCTGAGTGCATATTTTAAGTGATATTCACTTCATCTAATTTCGGGACAGTATGACAGAACAATCCAGACCATTCTTGAGATTTGATCTGGGAAGAGAGAGATCCAAAGCAATAGCCATTTTGGAGCTAACAAGGATGCTAGATCTGTTTAGAAGGAATTTGACAGAGAAATTGAGTTTTCTTCAGTGTCTGCTCCTACGGTGGGTCATATCCATCAGGGAGATTCCAGAAAGACTATGTGCTTTGTGATTGAAGTTGGTGGCACAAATCTCCCAGTAGAATACTTATATGTGCAGATAGAATTTGCTTTTGATATCAAAAGTCAGCTATGACAGTTTTATCAAAAAAAATTTTTAAAGGATATTAAGTTTTGACACCGTTCAGGCAAATTATATTTGAGGTGACTTAAGAGTCAAAGAGTCTCCACATTTTAATAAATTTTTATATGTTTTGTGCCACATTTACGATCTGACTAGATTAGGAGAAGAAGCAAATGCATTTGGGGAAGAGAGGGCGCTAGGGGATTTCAAAGTGGGGAATAAAATTTAAAAAAAGGGAGTTAAGGTGGAAAAAGGTGGTGCTGTGGGAAAGGTGGAGCTGACAGCTTTTGAAACAGTGAGTCTTTGAAAGACAGGTCAACGGCCAGCAGCCAGACACATAAAATCGTGTGTGATGAAATAGGTCAGTGTCTCATTTAAACCCCGGGGCTTTGCATCAGTTGCAGGTTGGCACCCTTGCTGGAGGGCACAGTCCGGCCCCTAGGTACTGCTACATGATGTAGAGCAGGTCATAGTAACCCTGGTGGGTGGCACTCTCTGGAAGGTTTTGTGCCAAGGACAAGTCTTGTGATGTGCCTCCATGGACCTTAGCTCTTCTGGGGGCATCTCTTCCTAAGGGACACATACTTAGCCATCAAGCAGGCACTGGTGATAGGAAGGTTGCTCCTGCTCACAAGGGCCTACTGGAATAAACCTAGAGAGCAGCGAGGCAGCTTGGGGCTGAAGATGTAGCTCAGGGGTACCACGCTTGTCTAGCCTGTGCAACACCCTGGGTTCCATCCCCAGAATGGAGGAAGGGAAGGAAGAAGGGTTGGAAGGGAAGAGAAGGGAGAGAGAAATGGTTTTATAGATGTTAATGGGCTTTTAAAGGTTACAAGTACACATGACAACTGGCCGTGGTAGCAAATGCCTTTAATCCCAACACTCTGGGAGACAGGGACAGATGGATCTTCCTGAGTTTGAGGCTAGCCTGGTCTATATAACAAGTCCCAAGGCCGGGCTGTGGTGGCGCACGCCTTTAATCCCAGCACTCGGGAGGCAGAGGCAGGTGGATCTTTGTGAGTTCGAGGCCACCTTGGGCTACCGAGTGAGTTCCAGGAAAGGCGCAAAGCTACATAGAGAAACCCTGTCTCGAAAAACCAAAAAAACAAACAAACAAACAAAAAAACAAGTCCCAGGCCAGCTAGAGCCATAACATGAAAAGAAAAAAGTACACCCAAGAATGCAAGACAGTAAATAATTGGGGAGCCAGGGAGATAGCTCTGAGTGGTGAAGAGCATGTGTGAGGCCTTGGGTTCTCTTCCCAGCCATGCATGTGTGCCGGAGCTGGGAGGGTGGTGAGTATCTGTAATTCCCGGTACTAGGGCCAGTCCGCAGCATAGCCAAACACACACCCCTTCCTTACCCCCTCCCCGTGTGTGTGCGCGCGCGCATGCCTGTGTGTGTGTGTGTGTGTGTGTGTGTGTGTGTGTGTGTGTGTGTGTGTTGTAAGGTATCTGTGCTGTTAACATGACGTGTATGTGATTTTTGAAAGTCGGTACAGGTGTGGGCACTAACGCCAAAGAAGGCCCCTCCGCTGTCCTATGTGGCTGACGGGAAGATTCTTTCTTCTTAGCCTCCTCTGTGTAGATGTCAGGGCTGTGTGTGGTGTGGTGGTGGGGGGTGGGTAAGCCATGTGGCAAAGCTGCTTAGGAGCTGCTTGGCTCCTTGCTCAGGGAATGCCGCCCTTAAAGCAGCAGGCATCTGCCGGCAGGCCTGAGAGTAGAAGCTGGAGAAGAAACAGATTGGAGGGTGGAAGGATGGGGAGAAGAGAATCCAAACCTCACTCTCCTCCCAGCCCAGAGCCCTGCAGGGAATGGCTTTGGGTAAGGACATTCCTATTGATAAAGGGGCTGGCGGTGAAATAGAGAAGGTCACATGGAGATTTAATATATATATCCCCGTCTCTAAAGAGACATTTCTCACTGGCCCAACTTTGTACTGGCTGATAGATTTGTGCATCTAACGTCTATTTCTACCTGGGAAGGTTTATCCTCTTAAGGAAAAGGAAACAGCGTTCTTATTGAATCAAGTGACCAGGGAGTTTCTCGAAGGAAACAGGAAGGTTTGGGTGTAGAAGGAGCCACCTGGGACTTCAGGCATACCAGAAGGACTGGGAAGGACAGTGGGTCCCCCAGGGCCTGAGTGCAATTTCATGTCCCTCCCCACCCCCACTCCTGGCTCCCCAGTAGAAATCAGCTACAAATCTCAGCTTGTTGGGAACAGATGGCCTTGGCTGACGAATAAGGCACCGCAGGCTGCTCCACCTGTTCTGGAGCTGGAATAATCAGCTCGAGACAAACATCGATGCCGAAATAACTCATGGCAGCGGGTGATGCGCAGGCACGGATTCCAACACTCTCTTAGGCAGACCTCCCCTCCCCCCTCCCTAACCCTCCCCTTTCCCCAGCTCCCCCCGGTTTCCAGCCCCTGGAGGCCATCAGGGAAAGTAATGGAGCAGAGATGATTGAGACCCGAACGGAGCAAGAGAGGCCGGAGGAGCTAGCCGTGCCACGCAGGGCCGGTGGAGGGCAGGGCCGGGTGGAGGGCAGGGCTAAGTTCTGTGACAGGAAACTCGCCCTACTGGGTGAGAAATTGTGTCTCCGGGGGGGGGCTTTGGAGAAGGTGCGAATGGTCGGTGCCAGGGTGGCCTGGCTAAGCTGAGGAGGAGACTGCTCCCGGATGGAAGCGATTTAAGGATCTGAGATTTGTTTCATTAAAGGAGCGCTATGCAAATAGGACCTAGCTAGGAAGTGGCTCCCAGCACAGCAACAGCCGCAGAGCCTCTTCCGCCGCTGTGGGTGGGTGCCTGGCGCCCGCCCGCATTCTCTCCACTTGTGTATAGCATCCCCTCACCTCCGTGATGATGAAGTCCTCTGGGCTAGCGTGCCCTGACTGGCCGAGGCCGTGGCTGACAGCCAGTGGGGGCCAGGCTCCTAGAGAGCCGGTTGAGCCGGGGAGTGCTTCGGGAAGTGGCTTTCTGGTCCACAGAACATACACAGGGGTTCGGAGCACCGATTCTCAACCTGCCGCGACCCTTTATGAGTCAAACGACCCTTTTACAGGAGTCGAAAATCAGATATCCTATATGTCAGATATTTATAGTAACGAATTACAGTTATGAAGTAGCAACGAAACTAATTTTATGGTTAGGGGTCACCACAACATGAGGAACTGTGCTAAAGGGTTGCGTTAGGAAGGTTGAGACCCACTGCTCTAGAGGCTGGTGGGCACAAGAAGCCTGATGAGGACTCTGCAGCTCTGGTTATAGCTCGAAATGCCAGTTTTTGCCAGTTTTTGTGCCCATGTAGCCTGAGGCCTCAGACGTTAGAGGACAGGGCCTTCCACTGTTAGGCAGAATCATGCAAAACCTTTCTAGAAGCTGGTTCTGTTCTCAGAGGAGTTCTGGGTCCCTGCAGCTCAGAAGCTGCAGCCATTTCTGTTTGTGAACAAAAACAACTCCGTGTTACCCCTAGAGTCACAACAGTGTTCAGCAGGGATTTGTGTCCCACTCCCTTCTCCTGTCAGTTGATGGCAGATCTGGCGATTCATCAGGAAACCCTTTTTATTGATCCCCCCAAAGAAAAGAAAATGGCTCTTACAAAAAGATAATCACAATACTCTCATCACACCCAAAAACTGATCAATAGTTTCTTACTATCAAACATCCAGTCAGTATTTAAATTTCCCTACTGTTACTAGTTTTTATTTTACATGTATTTATACATGTGTTTTATATAAAACAGATGCACAGGCCTGTAATCCCAAGTATTCAGGAGGGTGACGCAGGAAAATCACAAGTTCGAGGCCAGCCTAGGCAACTTAGTGAGTCTGTCTCAAAAATAAAAATAAAAAGAGGATAGGAGCCAGGCCGCGGCAGTGGTGGCGCACGCCTTTAATCCCAGCACTCAGGAGGCAGAGCCAGGTGGATCTCTGTGAGTTCGAGGCCAGCTTGGTCTACAGAGCGAGATCCAGGACAGGCACCAAAACACACCCTGTCTCAAAAAACAAACAAAACAAAGCAAAAGGCGGGGGGAGGGGATAAGGGCTGAGGAGATGGCTCAGTGGGTAGAACTCTTGCTTTGTTAGCCTGAGGACCTGGGTTCAGATCCCAGAGCCTGTATAAAAGCCGGTCTTGCCGGGCGGTGGTGGCGCCCGCCTTTAGTCCCAGCACTCGGGAGGCAGAGCCAGGTGGATCTCTGCGAGTTCGAGGCCAGCCTGGGCTACAGAGTGAGTTCCAGGAAAGGCGCAAAGCTACACAGAGAAACCCTGTCTCGAAAAACCAAAAAAAAAAAAAAAAAAGCAGGTCTTGGTAGCATGTCTGCAGCCTCAGCTCTCTGACAAGGTGGGAGAATCCAAGGAGGCTCTCTGGTCAGCTAGCCTGGAGTACTACACAGTGGTGAACAAGGTGGAAGATAAAGACAGATACCAAAGGCCTGATCTCTACACATGGCAAACTTGCACCTGCATTCACCCACGTGCACACCCGGGCACAAAAAAATGATAAAATAGTAAGAGGTGGGGATACAGCTCAACTGTGTATCATTTGACCGGCATGTGCAGGACCCTGAATTCAGTCCCCAGTATTGAAAAAAAAAAAGGGGGGGGTTGGTTTGTTCAAAACAAGATCCAAACAAGATTAAAGGGCTTTAAAAAAAATAATAAAAGACTGTGTGCACAGCCTTTTCTCTCGGGGATTCCGATTTCACTGGCCTTGGGTGTGGCCCCTGCGTCACATTGGTTTTCACAGGCAGCCAGGTTTCAGAAAAGCCCTGTCTGTCTTCCAGCACTTGGAGATCCCTGCAAGAGCCTCCTATCCAGGCTGTGAAGTACATCTCCCAGCCTTCAGTCGGCAGACCAGGCAGTTCACAGGGCTGCCGGCATGAGCAAGCTGGCCAAGAGGGTGAACACCTCCTCCAGAACCTCTTTTGAGGTGTACGGCACAGGGTGCTCCTTTCCCTCCAAATTCACACACCGTGCGTGCCTGCTCCCGTCCCTTTCTCCCTAATAGCCCAGTGTTGCTTCTTGCCTTGCAAGGATAACAGATTTTTTTTTTTTTACCCTTTTCTGTGCAAATAGCAAAATTCCTGCCTCAGGAAAAAGTGAGAACTTCCCCAGGGGCTGTACTCACTTGGCTGTTCAAGACGCTGCGTGCAGAGCTGGAGCTGAGCCAGAGCCTGCTGGGAGCTTGGCGGCAGACCTAAGCAAAGTGAGGGATTTGAGTAGGATTTGAACCCAGTACAGTTCAGGGACTCTACGAAATGGCTCTGTCCTAAGATGTTGGCCCCAGGATCAAGTTAAAGAAATATGCTCTGGTCTCTAGCTGCCCTGTCTCTGCTTGGAGCTGGCCTCGAACTTGCCTTCTTGTAGTTGCTTCCACACTCCGATCCGACCCCTCCACTCTTCCTGCCCACTGGATCCATTCCTCCCTCCTGCGTCCCCCGCTCCATGCCTCACTGGATGTTGGTGAAACAAATCTAGTCTAAAATAATGAGCAATCAGCTACCCTGATGCTCGGGGCAGGCTGGGCAGGGCTGAGGGAAGGGGTAGAGAGCTGAATCATTTATAAAGCTTAATAAAGATGCAGATGAGCGGTGCTGAGTAGGAACCCCAGAGCTGGGCTTATTCATTATTCAAAGTTATGCAAATGCCACTGGGCACGCATGATAGAATCCTGCCCCTTGTCCCTCCCCACCCCTCCCCCACCCCCACCCGGGCTGACAGATCCAACCCTCCTTGTGTATCCCTCCTACACCTAGCAACCTTTTTCCAATGGTAACAGGGAGCCTGGCCAGCTCATTTCCGGAGGGAGGCCACAGGCCCTGGCCTTCAGGTGAGCCTCTCCAGGCCTGAGGAGAAGGGCTTCTCCATGCCGACGATGCTCACAGAAAGTGCTCTAACAGTGCTCACGTCCATGTCTTAATTTCTCACGCTTCTGCCTAAGGGGATAGATTTCCTGAAGTCTAATCTAAATCCCTCTTGCTGCACAGCCTGTCCAACACAGAAATAGCCAGATTCTCTTTAATTGTTCTCCCTGAGAAGTGAAATGCAGGCATGCCTAGAGTCGTTTTCCAGCCTGTGTCTGGAGGTCAGCTCTTCTCTTTGCCTTGTTTTGGCCCCTTCCAGGTTGGATTCACATCCCTTAAGCTCTCAGGCCTGTTCAGGAATACCAAACTTCGCCGAGAGAGTTGAACCAGGCCTGACCTTCAGATCACCGAGTTCCTAGGTCCTGCCCTCCCTCTGCACCAGTCTCCCCTCTTTCCCCACCAAGACCTCATTTGTCAATTTGTGAGGCTGAGGGATGAAGAATTGGGTCAGAGTGGGGAGCGGCATCGATTGCCTCGGCTCCCCGCCTTTTCTGGCCTGGCTCTCCTCCCTCTGCAGCCCCGGTCTATTTTTAGCCTGCCTCTGTTTTCCGTAGTCTGGTTGGCAACCGCTCTGGCCTCTTTCTCTTCATTGCCCTTATCATTCCCTCGCAGCCTGTGCAGACCCCAGCTGCCCCTCCTGAGGACTCTTACTGCCTCCCAATTGCTTCTGATTTTTCTTCCATCTTGAAGATATGGAGGGGCTGCCCATGAGGGGCTGCCTGGCCATGCTCAGGCGAATGAGATAATGCTGTGCTGGGCAAAGCCCTCACTATTACAGAGGTCCTCACACCATCCTCCAACCCCTTCCGCAGGGACTTCTGCTTCCCTGTGCTCCCAGACTTCCCCCTAGGTCACCTCTCCTGTGATCCCATCCAAATACAACTAGGGACAGCTCCCTCCCTTCCTCCCACCAACGTTCAGCACGCTGGGCCTTGGCCTCCGGCTTTCCTCCTCAGGCTTTGTGTGTGCCATGCTCCCGCAGGCCCTGCTTTCCTCCTTGGTCGCAGGATGCCAGTCTCTCCTCACCTGACCCCCGGTTCACCCCATTCTCTGCCAGCCCGGTCCCACACACCCCTTGGCCCCACTGCTACTGCTCTGCGGCTGCCAGCTGTAGCTTCCGCGGAGACTCTCTGGTCAAGGCCCAAGGCTGCTCAGGCAGAGTTTGCTAGTCTCCCCCACTTGTCCTTTCTCAGCCTCTGCAAGACATTGGTCTCCCCTTTTGGCTGTCACTGACAAGCTGAATAAAGCTGGATATTTTGGAAGGGGAACTGCAGCTGGCTGGGGGAGGAGGCCAGCGCATCGGAGGGAGAGGCAGAGGAAACAGAAGGCCGTGCAGCAGAGGCATGCTCCTTAGACGGCTCTCGCCAGCTTTGTCAGCATGAGATGGAGTTGCTGAGCTCATGGGCAGGACGCTGGGCCTTCTCAGCATCTGGTCTGTTTGACACGCCCCCCGCCCCCATGCTATACTATACCACAGTCCTTTGCTTTGTGGCTCATTCCTTTTCTTTTTCAAACAGAACCACCCTGGCCTCAAGTTCATCTGTATATAGCTGAGCATGACCTTGAACTTCTGGGCCTCCTGCCTCTGTCTTCTAAGTGCTGAGGTTACAGGTGAGCACCATGCCTGGTTTGTGTGGATCTGGGGCTTCATGCACATTAGGCAGATACTCTACCAAGCGAGCCACGTCCCCTCAGCTCTTCACGCCGTTCTTTAATAGACATCCAGTGCATGACTTGTCCTTCGAGACCCACTCCTCAGTAAGACTACTGTTGACCACTCATGGGAAGGCTCAGCTTCTCCCAGAGTTTCTTGTCCCTCCCTGGTCTGATGTCCCCCAAAACATTATGTGTTTTAATTTACATGTGTTATAATTTACATGTATGTTCTTAGCTCAAGATCAGTCTGGTCTACAGAGCAAGTTCCAGGAAAACCAGGCCTACACAGAGAAACCCTGTCTCGGAAAAAAAAAAAATCTTTTTAAATTTACATGCATGCATTGCTTACATGTCTTCTCACTGCCACCGTCAGCTCCAAAGAGTGAATTTTTAAAAGTCATGGTAGAATACATGTAACATTTATCGTCTTAGCTACTTGAGGTGCATAGTTAGCTCAGTGACATTAAACACATTCGCACGACTCCCAGAACTTTTGTCATCCTCCAAAAACTGAGGCTCTGGATGCATAACAAAGCACAGCCTCCTCTTCCTCCTCTCAGCCCTGGCGCATTCTCTCTCTGCCTCTGTGAATCTCACCACTGGACTCTCGCACAAGTGAGTCTGCACAGGATTGGTCCTTCTGTCTCTTTGCTTATTTCACTTAACGCGCCCTCATTTCAGCCGTGAAGCAGTACGGTGTCAGGGTCTCTTCCTTTTCAAGACTCAGTACTACCCCGTGACATGTACAGACTACGTTTTGTTCATCCATTCCTGTGTTAATGGACATCTGGGCTGTTTCTGGCCATTGTGAATAATGATGCTAAATCATGGGTGTATAGATATCATTTCGAGACCCTACTCTCAAATCTTTAGGAGATCTACTCAGAAGTGGAACTGCCAGATCATAGATTACTTCTCTTTCTAATTTTTTTGAGGCCCTGTGCGGGCTAGTTTTATGTCAACTTGACACAAGCTAGAGTCATTTGGGAAGAAGAACTCTCAACTGAGAAAATGCCTCTATAAGATCAGGTTGCAGGCAAGCCTGCAGGGCATTTTCTTAACCAGTGATTGATGTGGGAGGGCCCAGTTCATTGTGAGTGGTGCTACACCTGGGCTGGTGGTTCTGGGTGCTATAAGAAAGCAGGCTGAGCAAGCCAGTAAGAAAAAGTCAGTAAGCAGCACTCCTTCATGGCCTCTGCATCAACTCCGGACTCCAGGTTCCTGCCTTGTTTGAGTTCCTGCCGACGTCCTTCAGCAGTGGAGTTTGAGGATGAGACAAACAACAGACGAGGAGGGCACAGTGCGTCGCCGGGACAGAGACTCCGTGGATTCCTGGGGGTAGCAGACTCTGGGGTGCTAATTTAGATCATTAAAGCCGATAAGAAATAGAGTTACATAGACAATAAAGACTTCCTCAGACACTGTGCAATGTGGGGTCTTTGTTTATTTTTTTCCAGCAACTTGAGACTTGAGAGTTTTAAGCTGAAGTCAACCCTTTCCTCCCCAAGTTGTTTATGGTCATGGTGCTTTATCAGAACAACAGAAACCCTAACTAACTAAGACAGGCCCACTCTGCTGTTTCAGAACAGGGATTTCCATCTGTGTGTTTACTGATTGTCTTGGTTCCTTTTTCTGTTGCTGTGACAAATATCCTGGAAAAAAGCAATTTAGGGAAGAAAAGGATTTATTTGTCTTACAAATACAGATTAGAGCCCATTATTGTAGGGAAGTCAAGGCAGAAACTTACAAGTATCGCATCTATGGTCAAGAGCAGAGAGAGAATAAATGTATGTGTCCTTGCTTGCCCAATACTCAGCAGCCTTCCCTATCCTTATAGAGTGTAGAGACCTCTGCCTAGGGAATGATGATGCCCACAGTGGCCTGGGTCTTCACATGTCAGTAATCAAGACAATCCTTCACAGACATGCCACAGGTCAATCTAGGGAATTCCTCATTAAGACTCTCTTCCCAGATATTCTGGGTTGTGTCAAATAGACAGTTAAAACTAACTAGCACACTGATGCATCTACATAGTACCTGACACAAGTAGAAACTAAGTCAATATTTTTGTGTCAGATGAGTAAGTGATAATAATATCTGATCCCTACACACCTCTGTATAGTTGGTCAGTATTATTATTGCCATTTTATAGACTGAATTTCTGGGAACTGTGTGAAATTGTCCCCAAAACAGACTTGGCATGGGGCTGACAGGATGAGCTAGCTTTTGGAACTCACTGGAGAATTCAGTCAGGGCTAAGGCACATGTCTGGGCCTTTAAGGACTGAGGTAAGTGAAGCAATTTTCCTTGCGGTGTATTTCTTTGTGAATATTTTATTCCTATTGTTCACTTTCCCTGTCATATCTTCCCCTCTTTGTCCCAGCTTCTCTCTCCCTAGAACACTGAGATCCTGCTCTCCAGGGTGGAACTGGCCCTCTCTGGAGGTCCCCCGCCCCCTGGCTTTTGGGTACCATCTAAGCACATCAACCTTGCCTGAATCCCTGTTCACACCCCTCACCCCTCCACCCACCCAGGGGTAGTTACAAGCCCCATTCTCTTCCAAAGCAATTAGTGCAAGGAGAGGCCAGCCGCCCGGGTGCTAATGCTGTTTCATTAAGTGGGAGCAATCCTAATGATAATAAAATGGCACATTTAACATTCAAACATTGAACGGGGTTTCTAAGCGAGTGTGTCTCTGGCTTCCTTTCTGGTATAACAGTTCTATCTTCATAAGGACCTGACAATACACCTTAATGAGAGAGTGGGGAGCTGAGCATCTTCACAGATCCAGAGAGAAGATGAGGATGAGACAAAGAGCAGACGAGAAGGGCACAGTGCATCACCGAGACAGAGACTCCGTGGATTCCTGGGGGTAGCAGACTCTGGGGTGCTAATTTAGATCATTAAAGCCGATAAGAAATAGAGTTACATAAACAATAAAGACTTCCTCAGACACTGTGCAATGCAGGGTCTTTGTTTATTTTTTTCCAGCAACTTTTTTTTTTCCTGGCAAATGTTTATTTATTAGAGGTGAGACTTTATGTGAGTTGGTGATGGAGACCGTCTCAAGCTCTTGGGAAGGAGACCCCAAAGGCACTAGTGGTTTATAAAAGACAATCTTCTTCACGCTCCCCTGTGCAGATTTAGTCAGAGCATGCTCAAGAAAGAGAAATTTAAGGAGCCTCTTAGTCTACTGGGCCCATCTCAAGCCCCTCCCCATTGAGACGTCCATCTTGAAGCTCCTTGCTGTTCTGGGATGGTGAATCTCTAGCTGACTTTCCGGGGATGGGAAAGGAGATGGACTTGGGAAGATGACTGGGAAAAGAGGGTCAATCATTTGGTGTTTACATTCCTTCTCCTAGAAGTCTTCCCCATGAGGGCTCTCCTCCCCAGGAGTCAGCTGGAGTCAAAGGTGGGCTTTGCTCCGTGGAGAGAAGCGGCTCATTCGAAATGGCGCCAAGTCATAGGATGGTGGTAATTTCATGCTTAGCTCACAGAGGATCTTCCCCACGACAGGGGCCAGCTTGAATCCATGCCCTGGGTGAAGAATGTGTATCTTAGAATGTGTATCTTCAAGTACAGACTCAGGGCTCTAGGGAAGTTCCCTCCACACCCAAACAGTGCTACCTTTCCTCTTTGTCTCATCCCAAAGCTAGACATTGCCTTCTGCCACAAGTGCCCCCTTTTTTTGACTGCCTACCCTCCCTATACACCCAGTGTTCGGACTTCAGTTAATGCCCACGAGAGCCCCTTCTGTCTGGTACTTCAGTGGGTCTGTTTGCAGGCTCCCCACCTCCCCATCCTCAAGCTCACCAGAGAATCCAGCGCCGATGACGATGTTGTCGTACTTCGGGTGACAATCAAGAATGAAGTGCTCATCGGGCGTGTTCTAGAAAGAAGGCCATACCTGTGTCCTCTGAGGACAGGAGGGGTAGGGACTACAGGCTGGGGCAGGAAGGAACTGGCCTGGGACTCTTTCCCTAGAGGACTGCATGGGGCTGAGGTCGCCCCCTGCCTGCCCCATCCCCTCTAGACACGCTGGTTCTTACTGAACAGCTGTCACTCTCCCGCTGTACCATGGACACAGTAGGTAGTCATCTTCGCGAACTAACTTTAGCCAAGATGCCTCGGGCCCAGTGGCATCTGTCTCTTCTCTTTGTCCCCAAGGCCTGCTCAACTGGGAGCATCTTGCCAAGAACTGTTTTAGAGCTCTTCTGGGAAATATAGGGAAGGACTGCCAGGCAAAAGCCTCGCCGCCTAATAAAAAGAAATATGAATAATCTCTAACAGGTCCCGCTCTTATCGAGGTGAACCACCCACAGGAATTAGCTGGCTGGTTTAAAGTCACATACTGGGTGAGAGGTCAATGGAGTCAGGCCTGGCAGTTGTGGGTCTGTCTAACTCCTCCCCTGTTCTGCAACTTGGAACAGCCGGCTTACCGTGTACATGCAGCGCTCCATGATGTCTGGCTCGGGCTGAAGGCCTGGTAAGTGGTCTCTGACAAAGTGGCATAGAATCTGAACATCTTGGATGCCCGAGAAGGTTGTGGGGCAGTCCCGCTCCTCTGGGTCCACACTGTCACCATGGTGATAGCAGATCTATGCCCCCATTGGAATAGCATAGGCTGTAAAACTGGCCTTCTGAACATACCAGCCAGTGAAGGGTGGGTTTGGACGCAGGGTGTCTCCACCTATCTTCCCAGTCCCCAATCCTGGCAGGGGCTAGGATGTGTTAGCACCTGAAGTTGCCTAGTGCTCATCTCCAGCCCACCCTGTGTTTGTAAGGACCACGCACCCTAGGCCTCAGGGCAGGGGTGGGACATAGGATATTATGCTGTTAATGGCCAATAGTGAAGCAGTCTCCCGGAGGGTCCTACAGAGGTATGTTAGAATACGAATTAGGGCACGAATGCCTAGTAATACAGTAGCTTACCTTCATCAGCCCTGGGTACTCTGATGCTGGAAGTCCGTAGATGTGGTGGGGGGCCATGTCCAGACTCAGAATACACGGGAAAGCCTGTGATACGCTATAGCTCCCAGGGACCTTCTCTCGCCAGTAACACACATTGATCCTAAGGGTCTTGATGCAGGAGGAAATAGGAGATAAAGGGGGAAGCCATGGAACAGCCGATTCTGGTAAGGTCCTGTGGCCCTTTCCTAGCCAACCTGCTTGACCTAATTCTTGTCTCACGTACTCATACTGTACATTATGTTACACAAAGGTCTCCAAACTTATCTTGTCCCTATTCTTAGATTTCTCCCATGGCAGCACCCCAGCCCTCCTTCACCGTCTTCCCAGGAGTTCATACACTTCATATTTATTCAGTGATTACTATAAGTCTGGTCATCTCCTGGAGGCTCTATACACAGCAGAGAAATTAGTTTACCAATAGCCTTTTGAGGTAGCTGTAATTTCCCATACTGGCAAACCTGACGCTTAATGAGGTGAACTAATTTCCAGTGTTGACTGCTAGGAAGCGGCAGGTCCAAGGCTAAGTCAAGCCTGGCTGGCTCCAAGGTTCCCTCTCTCAGCTACTGACTCTCAGGCTCAGCTTGCCCTACCTGGAGAGGCAACTCAATTCCCAGGGGACGGAGAACCCGGTTGGTCCAGGGACCAGCAGTGATGACCAAGCTGTTGGCTTGATAGCTCTTCGAGGTAGTTTTCACCGTGACAGGTAGACCGGGTATTATCTCCACCACCTTCTCTCCGTCACACACTGTGCCTCCTAGCTGGCAAATCACGTGCTGAAAGGGCAGGCCCAAGAAAGACGAATTAATTAATTGTGATGTGGTTCACCCTAGGAGACAAGAGCTGCTCACTTAGGGCAGACAAGATTTCGGAATCTCAGGATGGGCAGTGGTGGTGCATGCCTTTAATCCCAGTGCTAGGGAGGCAGAGACAGGTGGATCTCTGTGAGTTCGAGGCCAACCTGGTCTACAAAGTGAGATCCAGGACAGCCAGGACAGAGAGAGAGAGAGAGAGAGAGAGAGAGAGAGAGAGAGAGAGAGAGAGAGAGAGAGAACCCTGCCTTAAAAAAATCAGGACCAAAGTGAACAAGGCAAAAACCTTCATATTGAATGCACTGGGGGCCGCCAGCCTGAAGCCAGGATGCCCAGAGAAGGGAGCTATATTGCTCTGGGGCTGCACAGCCTTACCTGGAGGGCTCTGAGGGCTTTGTCTGCATAGAGGATACCTCCAGTCTTGTCCAAGAGCCCCGCGTCTCCGCTGGTAAGCCGAATGTTTGGGAAACGTTGCTTTAAATCCGCTGATGAAAGATACTCATGGTCAATCCCCTGCCTAGACAGAGTGGCCTGGATTGTCTTTAATCCTGGATTCTCCTTCTTTCCCAGAAACAAGAGCTCAGTCTGCCTGTTTCAAAAAAGAAAAGGCCATCTGGGTGAAGGGATTTGTCATGGCCCTGGCC